TGCGTGCACACCTGAGGCACCCAGGTGGGGGCACACAGGTGGGGGAGGACAACTGTCCCCTGAGGTAGAGTATCTCTTCCCCCGGCTCCAACTGCATGGAGCCCACGCTGCTGAGCTGGTTTTCCCTCAGAGGACAGCCCGGCTCCCCGAGGAGGCAGGTCTGCACAGCCAGCTCTCGCCTAACCCGGTTTAATCCCTTAAAAGGAATGCTTCACCGAGCTATGTAATTTGGCTCAGATGGGCGGCTTTGCTTTTTTCCCCTCAAACGCCAGTGCTGATATCACCCTGAGACTCTACTGAGGAAGGCATACAGGTGGGGACAGGGAGGGGCCGCCAGGGGTTGGGGTCCCGGGCCCAGGGGCCAGGGGTGATGCCCTTGAAGGCCTTTAGCAGAACTGGGGTCTCCCAGTCCTCAAGCCTCAGCCTTGAAATGGAGCACCCTTCAAGGACACAGGCAAATGCTGTGGGTGCCAGTCTTTTGGGGCCCTGATTGCGGGGCTTGCCCCAAGGAGTCCCAGCTGACCCACCAGTTTGGAGGCTGAATATCTCTTAGCTCATCCTCCATGGCGCCTTGTGAAGGCCACAGGGACCCAGGTGGAAGCATTCAGGGGTTAAGATGTGAAATCTGGGATGGGCGCTGTGGCTCACGCCTGTGATCCCAGCACTTTGGGAAGTGGAGGCAGGAGGATTGCTTGAGCCCAGGAGTTTGAGATCAGCCTGGGAAACACAGCAAGACCTCACCTCCACAAAAAAATCAAAAAATTAGCCAGGCATGGTGGCACGCACCTGTAGTCCCAGCTACTACTCGGGAACCTGAGACAGAAGGATCGCCTGAGCCCAGAAGTTCGAGGCTACGGTGAGCCATGGTGGTGCCACTGCCCTCCAGCTTGGGCGACAGAGTGAGACCCTGACTCAAAAACAAAACCAAAAAATAACAGTGAAATCTGGGGCAGCATCACTGGGTTTAAATCCCAGTTCTCCCACTGACCAGCTCTAACCTCAGGCAGATTACTTAACCGCTCTGTGCCTCAGTACACAGCGGGTGAATGGGCTTGTCACAATCAAATGGGGCAGCTTTTGAAAAGCAGTCAGAGCATACCCGCTCCATGCAAAACGCATGACCGCTGTTAAATAAAACACGAAATCCATGGGCCCAGGAAGCTCCTAGATCCCAGTTAGCTCTGGCCAGGGAGGAGCCTGGCAAGGAGAGGAGGGAGAGGCCCTGCCGTGGGAGGAGTGAAGGTACTTGGCGGGCAGGGGCGACCACGCAGGCTGGAGAAAGACGGCGGCCTGGGGGAGGCCCAGGGCTGAGACGCCACGGCCTGAGGGTAAACGGGCAAGGGGCGCCCCAACTCCACATCCCCTCAGGGTCCTCCGAGGCATTGAGAGAAGCCAGAGGGCCTCAAGGAGGAAGACATGGTGGGGTGAGGCTCTCAGGAGTCGGCAGAGAGTCCCCAGAGCAGTGTTGTTCTTCCCCTATGCTGGCTGTGTTTTCGGCTGTGTGTTCTTGGCAAGTCACTTCCCCTCTCTGCGCCTCAGACTCCACCGCTCTGCTTCGCTCTGCATAAGGGGATGAGGAGAAAGTGGCAGGAGAGGGCAGTACCTCCATCCAGCAGAGGCTCCTGGCTGGGCCTCTCCGCTTCACATGCAGACTGCAGAGGGGATGGAGACGGGATAAGAGGCAGGACAGACTGAGGTCATCCTGCGGAGAGGGAATCTAAGAGCTGTGGTAAAATGCCTGGAGACCGAGGCAGGGGGACAATGTCTTTCCTAGGCCAGTGTGACCTCTGGGCGTCACTGGAGTCGTCCCCCTGCCCGTACGCAGGAAAACACAGGCAGCCTTCCCAATGAAGAGACTCAAAGGCTCCTTGACCAAAGCCAACTTTCGGCTGCAGGTTTGGGGGGAGGTGGGAAATGACACCCCTCCCAACACCTGAGGAATAGGACCTGCCTGTCCCTGAGGCGCTGCCCTGTGGCCTTGGGACTGCAGCCTCTGAGGAGGTCGACTGCCTCCCCTAGGATCCTCCAGACTCCAGCCAGGAGCTTCAGTTTAACCTGCTAAGTTTTCCCTACAAAGCCGGGCTTGGTGGCTCACCCTGTAATCCCGCACTCGGGGAGGTCGAGGTGAGTGGATTGCCTGAACCCGCAGGTTCGAGACCCGCCTGGGCAACTTGGCGAGACCTCATCTCTACAGTAAATCAAAAAATTAGCCTGGTGTGGTAGCGCGCGCCTGTAGTTCCAGCTACTCGGAAGGCTGAGGTAGAAGGATCGCCGGAGCCCAGCAGGTCGAGGCGGCGGTGGCCGAGCGCGGCCACTGCACTCCAGTCTGGGCGACAGAGTGAGACTCCAACTCAAAAACAAAAAAGAACACTTTCTCTCCTGACCTTGGCCCTGGTTTGCCCCGCTCTTCAGCCGGTCAGCCAGGGACTGTGCCTCTGGGTCTCAGTTTCCTCATCTGTAAAATGAAGGGGAAGCAGGACGCGGCAGCTCACGCGTGTCATCCCTGCACTTTGGGAGGCGGAAGTGGGAGGATTGCTTGAGACCAGGAGTTCAAGAGCAGCCTGGGCAACATAGCAAGATCCCATCTCTATTTTAAAATTAAAAAACAAAACAGGAGGCCGTTGGGCCAGAGGTTGGCTCTGAGGTACCTCCCTGAGCTGCTGCTGTGAGCTCAGGGCAGGGGTCACCAGAACAGACAGGAGGAGGAGCGAGAGGGAGGGCTTGGCAGCTGGGATGGGTTGGAGGCGACCTACCTGGCATCGCTCTGGGCGCCAGGATTATCGGCCCTCCCTAGGCCTTTGTTCGGAGAGGGAGGAGCCTTTCTGCAGGAGAGGTCCTGGGTGGGGGACAAGTTTCCATTCCCACCCACTGAGACAGGAGGCTCCCCCGAGGGCAGCGGGGGACAGGGGGCTGCCCCTAGTCCCCCAAGACCACAAGTGCCCTCTGCCTGGACTGGCTGGCCAAATACACACCATGTCCCAGCGGGCTAGTGCTGAAGCATAAGGAATTGAGGTTGGACTAAAGAAAGAACTTTCTGACGTGAAGGTTTTTCTGTTGCTCATGGGTGGAGAAGGAACCTCACATCTCTCACTCCACCCTCAGTGTAAACACGGGCACCTGCTTGTCAAAACCGAGGGAAGGTGGGGGGAGGAGATACCTCCCCCATCGCTCCCTCTCACACACGTGAGCAGGGCAGAAACCCTCCCAAACTCCGTCCCTACGGAACCCGTCTGACTGCGAGCACTGCATGTAGCAGGCTTAAGACTGGTCACCAGCGGAACCTACCAGGCCAGGTAGGAGTTACGCAGGGGAGAGACAGCCCGCAAACGCTGTGGTCACACGCCGTCATCCAGTATTCCTGCTGGCCTTGTCTAAGAGTGTCAAGGGGAACTTCCCAAGGTCATCGGAGCACCTCAAGAAAACAAACCTGGGGGTATAGGCAGGGCAGAGGGGGAGGCCCCACCTGGCACTCAAATTCAGGAGGCACAGAGAGCCCATGGGGGTCCGGAGTGAGCAGCAGGCATCAGATGGGAAGTTTGGTACCAAGTTGCTGTGTGACCTTGGAGAAGTCGCTTGATGCTCCTGGCCTCCATGGCCCCCTCTGTAAATGGAAGGCACAGACCAGCTGATCCAAAAGGCTCCTGGCAACTCTTTCAGGCTACAACCCTGGGAGCCCAGGCCAGCAGCTCGGGCAGTGGTGAAGGCAGGCCTGGCCGCATGCCTGTGGTCATAGGGAACATCACCGGGCAGTTACCACAGCACCCTCATGACAAGAACAGTCCAGATTGTCCAGGGAACAGTCCCAGTTATGTCTCCTGGCACTTTGGGAGGCCAAGGCGGGAGGACTGCTTGAGCCCAGTTCTTGGTGGCCTGGGCACCGAGAGGGTAGAGGCCCCACGGAAGGCTGATGGCTCTCAGTCTGACAGGATCGGGACAAATGGAGGACCTTGATGCTGGAGGGAAGCAGGGAGTCTCTCAAGCTGTGAGTCGTGGAGGGCTTCCTGTAGGAGGGGAGCAAGGGAGGAGGCTGGAAGAGTCCAGGATGGTAGGAAGCTGAGCACCCTGAAAAGCCTAGCGAGGACAGGCAAGGAGAAGAAGAGGCAGGAGCCCTGGGCTGGACCTGGGAAGGTGAGGACCCAGCAACTGGGAGGACAGCAGGAGGCATGTGGAAGGCTGAGTCTCAGAGGAGCAGCCGAGCTCAGAGCCCTCCCAAGCTCTATCCTCATGGCAAAACTGGCCCTAACCGGAGGCCAAAGCCCACCCGAGGAGAGCAGCCGGGGTCCCGGGGTCCGTGGTGGCTCCAGCCACAAGCAGGAGGTGTGCGTCACCATGGTGACAAGGCTCCAAACACAAACCGCCTGGATTCCAGGCCTGGCTCTGCCACCGGCTAATTTTGTGACCTTGGGCAAGTTCTTTCACCTCTGTGTGCCCGGTTTCCTCATCTGTAAAATGCAGCCGATAATAAGACCTGGCCCACGGGTCAGGTCTGGGATATAATGAGTCAAAGACGTCGGGCATTTAGAGCAAGGCTTGGCGCACAGCAAGGGCCGCTCAGTCACGTGCTTGGACCCTCGAGATGGTTCCAAAGCCCATCCCCAGGTCCTCCCCACTACAGCCTCCGGAGGTGTGCTGTCCCCCAACTTCTAGCTGGGGAAACTGAGGCTTGGAGAGGCAACAAGTCCTGTGTTATGTGAGTGCTAACTGAGCCCTGCCCCGCTGTCAAGATGAGACGAGGCTTGTTGTGATGGGAGGGGACAGAGAGGCCTCCCCCACCCCACTTCCCTGGGGTCTCCCACCCCAGCCCCGGGCAGGCATGGAGCACCTACCACGTCCTTGACACTCCTCACACGCTAGTCCTCCTCCCTCGCCCAGCTGGCCCTGCCCTGGCCTCCCCTCCCCTTGCTAATTGGCTCTTCCCGGCTCATCCTCTGCTGATCTCGCCGTCTTCGAAGTGAGCAATCCGGTCGCTGGAGCTGGTGCTGGGTGGTGTGTGCAGGCCGATGAGCTGCCGCGTCCCGGGGAGGCCCCCGGGGGCGCTCGCCGGGCAGCCTGGGGCCTCAGCGCCCCAGCAGCCCGCCCCCGGCCCACCTGCCACCCTCCTGCTCGTCCAGGTGCAGGCCCTGGAGCAGCGCCACCAGCTGCTGGAGGCCCGCTGGCACTTCCTGCAGAGCCAGGACGCAGCCGCCTTCGACCTGGGGCACCTCTACACGGAGTACCAGGGCCGGCTGCAGGAGGAGCTGCACAAAGTGAGCCAGCAGCGCGGACAGCTGGAGGCCAACCTGCTGCAGGTGCTCGAGAAGGTCGAGGAGTTTCGGATCCGGTAAGTCGCACCCCGCGGGGGGCCGTGGGCCGGGACTGAGGGTGGGGATTACGCTGTGTTTGGGTGGAAGCAGCCATGCCAGACAAAGGGGAAAGGAGTTGGCAGGGTGAGGTGGCTCCCGCCTATAATCCCAGCACTCTGGGAGGCTGAGGCAGGAGGGTCCCTTGAGTCCAGAAGATCGAGACCAGCCTGGGCAACATAGCAAGACCTTGACTCTACAAAAAAAGAAAAGATTAGCCAGTCCTCAGGAGGCTGAGGTGGGAAGATCGCCTAAGCCCAGGAGTTTGAGGCTGCAGTGCCACTGCCCTCCAACCTGGGCAACAGAGTTAGACCCTAGCTAAAAAAGAAAAAAGAGAAGGAAAGACATTATGGAGTTTTGACACATTTCTTTACCCAAGACCTGTTTATTGAGGGACTAGTATGTGCCAGACAGTATTCTAAACACGGGGGCTATGGCAGTGAACCTACAGTCATCCCCTCCCAAATAGTGACCCTCACAGCAGAGTCAGTATCATGTTGGCTCCCAGCTAACCCCTGTGTGACAACCCACACCCCTGACTCGAACAGAATGTCCTCTTGTAGCTATGAACACGCTCTTGTCCACACATCACTCTGGTGATGAGAAATGATGTCACCAGCTAGAATAAGTGGGCTTCTGCTTTGGATGGAACTTCAGATTTTGATCCGGATTGGGCTGGAAAGCAGAGGGAAGCCGACAGGGTACAGGCAGGGAAGGAAGGAAGGGGGACTTGCTAGAATAAAGAGGTGGTTCCCTCTAGGGAATGCATGCAGGCATCAAGACCACATTGGAATGAGAGAGAAGGAAAACAGTCCTGACCTGCAAGATGCTTTTACAACTTGGTGGGGCAGATAGACAGACAGACCAACAGTGGTGGACAGTACATGCCAGCGGCCATGTGCCCAAGTATGGGCCTTGGACCAGGATGGGGTTTAGTTCTCACCCCACCCCTCGCTAGCTTTGTGATCGTGGGTAAGTCACTCAATATCTGCACCTCAGTTTCCTTCTATGTGAAACAGAAACAGTGATGGTTGCTGCCAACCTAAGGTGGGAGTAGGGAACTCAGCATGGCACCTGGCACTTACACGTGGTAGCTTTTCCCTCCCCTCAAAGGCTGAAGTTCTCAGCACAGAACAGGTCCTTGGTACAGGTTTGCTGGATTGAGTTGTCTGGTCTCAAAGGACAGACTGGACACTTGGGCTGCTTGGAGGAGAGGTGACCCTCTGTGGCTTGGCAGTGGGCAGGGCTTTGAGGACATACAGGCTGAGGCAGAGGAGAGCAGCTGTACCCCTGCACCTCCCCTCCTGGGTCTGGTTTCCCTTCAAGGAGGCCCCCAGCGAGGGCGAGGGAAGGACAGAGTATGGCTGAAGCCCCATGCTCTGGGCAGCCCCAATGCCTGCCAATCCAAGGGGAGGCTCACGACCTCCGAAGCAGCCAGTCAGGCAGGGCTGGAGGGTGGGGGCAGCCTGTCCGGAAGTCCAGGGACCTGGGCAGTGGCTCAGCCAACCCCTGACACCCCCCCCCCCCCCCCCCCCCCCCGAGTCCTGACCTCTCAGGTTGAGGGAAACACACAGGGCATCCTGGGAGGCTCAACATCCTGGCACCAGGAATGATCTGTGGGTTCCCCAGAGTCCGTGACCCAGTTCATCGATCCCTAGTAGGCTTTTGGCCCTCAAAGGATTAGAGAATGGCAGAGCTAGGGGCAGCCCTGGATTCTCCTTTTTAGAGAAGGAAACAGAGGCCCAGAGAGGGCAAGGCTTGTCCCAGTCACACCTAGCCTTGTAAGTCCCATCCCTGAGCCCAACCAGCCACCAGGTAAGGCTGCTCCCATGAGCCCAGCCAGGTGGTATCCATGGAAGCACTTTGCAGCTGGAAGTTCTATTCACGCACTATCTGCTGTTTTCCTCTGGCTCGGCTACCTGGTTTCCATTGCCTGCTGACTCTACTTTTTAAGCTCAGGGCCTCTCTTCTCCTCTCAGAATAGGGAACCCACCCAAGTTGGGGAAAGAGACTGGGCTTACGGGCGAGGCAGGAGGGCTTCTGAGTCTGCAGGCCAGAGCAGGGGGTGAGGGAGCTGCAGCCTGGCTGTGCAGAGCCTGGGGCCCCCGGGAGCCAGGAGAGGCCAGGCTGAGCTCTGACAGGGAGGGGCCGTGCCCTGCCTCTGCAGGGCAGATGAGATCAGCCTCTCTCCCTGAAATAAACAAGTTGGAGGGGGGGTGCGGGTGTGACATGCTAAAAAAAACGGGTTTGGGAGCTGGGAGCTGGCAGCCTGGCAGAGGACTGGGGTGGGACAGGGAGAAGGCATCGCCCCAGCCTCTGTGGCGATGGAGACTTCCAAAGGGGTGTCTAGCCCTTCTATTTACCAAGGACCAAGCAGAGGCCCAGTAAGGGAAGCAACTTGCCACAGACCACACAGCAAGTGACTCAGGGACCCACATACAGTTGCGCAAGCTGTGCACTGCACGAGAGTGCGGGGGAGGGTTGGGGGGACTGAAATCCAGGTGAGCATCAAGCTGGGTGGACTGGTGCCAAGGCCAAACACCCTCTGAGGAAGGTGGCTGTTTTCTTTTTTTCTTTTTTTTTTTTGAGTTGGAGTCTCACTCTGTCGCCCAGAACTACAGGCATGCACTACCACACCCGGCTGATTTTTTGATTTATTGTAGAGATGAGGTCTCGCTGCCCGGGCGGGTCTCGAACCCACGGGCTCAGGCAGTCCACTCACCTCAGCCTCCCAAAGGCGCGGGATTACAGGCTGAGCCACCGAGCCCAGCCTGGGGGCTGTTTTCTACTTCACACAGAGGCTGGGGGCCCCAGGATGGAACCCACTGTCCGGCCTCAGCCCAAGATTCCTGCTGGAACACCAGCCTGTCCCCTGGGCCAGGCCTTGCTCCCACCATGCACACCTGGAGGCCCTGGACCAAGTCAGACCCGGCCCAGGCAGGACACCATAAGGATGCCCCCGCCAGTCCCACGCTCCTGGTGTCTTTCTCTGCCAGGGGACGTGTTCCAAGCCACTTGTCCCCCTCTACTCTCCCTGCCCATGCTTCCCTGGGCCCCTGGCGGAGTCTCTACCTGGCGGATCTGCAAGTGGCAACCTGGAAACACAAGTTCCCCTTCCCTTCCCAGACAAGGGCACACTTGAGGGTGCAGGGTTCAGCGTCCCCAGCCCCAGGCCTGCGGTTCCCCTCCTACGGCATTTCGGGGGACAGATCCAAAGATAAACTGGGCACAGGCAGGCCCTAAGCAATTAGAAATGGACCGGGTGCAAATCAGAGAGGGGGTCACGAGGGCGTCTGGTGAGGGAAGAGGGATGGCGGAGGGCCCCGCTCACACTGCTCGCCCCAAGGTCCGTCCCCAGGCTGGCAGGACTTTGCTATCCAGAGGAGGGGGCGCTCAACCTCAGGGAAGGCCAGTCGATGAGGAGCTTCCCAGGTCCCCGTCCCCGGGGCAGAGGACTCCGCAGAGGCTCCGATTCCAGGAGGGACTTCAAGTCAGCTGAGCCCTTAGGGTTTGTGAAAGGTGCAAGGAGCCGCCCAGTCTCTGCAGTGAGGCTTCTCTCTGAGGACACCAGAGGCCAAGGCAGTGGGGCTGAGCTCCAGCGGGGCCACAACCTCCTATTTCATCCTCATGACCTCACCGTGACCATGACTGAGGCCCACACGGCAACTTATCAAGGACACACAGCAGGGAAGCCAGGATCTGGGCCCGCGCAGTCTGGCTCTGGGGCCCTATGCTTAACCACGGGGGCCTCCAAATCCTGCTCTGAGCCTCCTCATCTGTAAAATGGGGCCAGGACGGCCTCCCTAACTGAGGGCTCTGAGGATCCCAGGAGAGGGTGCAGGTGAAACACCTGGCACCTGGCACTCCCCCTCCAGTCAAAGCACTCCTGGGGCATTTCCTTCTCCCGCAGGCCTCACCCTGCAGAACAGTTTCCCTGGCCCACCTCTGCCAAGCCCTGCACCGACCTAAACCCTAGAGCCTCAACAGACTCTTGGCAGCCAAGGCGGTGGCCAGGGAGGATGTGCCCTTGACACATTGAGTCCCAGAGACCCACGTGCCCTGCGGTTGGGTCCGCAGCCCTCCTCTCCTCAGGTGGGTCAGTGGAAAAGGAGGCATGAGGGGCACCTGTCGCAGCTGGCAGACGTGGGCGACACGTGACACGCCCTGCTGGGAGGTCAGGGCCAGGGGCAGGCAGGCAGCTGTAATTAGGGCAGCCAGTGATTCAGGCACTCCCTGGAGAGGAAGGGGAAGACGGAAACCACACAATCCCACATCCCCGGGCTGGGGGAGGGCTGAGAATGGGAATTTTGAGGTCAGCAGACACCCACCCTGGGAGGCAAAGACAAACGTCTCAACTGGAGGAGGAGGGTCAGGTCAGGGATCCAAGAGTTCCATCCTCCCCACCTAAGTGTCCTCGTTCCAAACAAGAGGTGGGCGTGAGTGAGGAGGAAGCCAGACGGAGAAGCGTGGTCACCCTTGGCTGAGTATGGACCGTATGCCATATGACCGTCTGTCGTTGCATCAGAGCTGGACTTGGTCAACCCCTTACCCTACACACACTCCACACACATACGCCCACGCTTGTACACACACCCCCTTACAGACGAGGAAGCCAAGGATGGGATGGTGTCCTACCGTCTCACAAACCGGAGGGATGGAGGTGGGCTGTGGGGAAGGTGGGAGAAGGCGGGGTGTGAGCTGGATGCTCCCAGCAGACTTGACCCGAGGAACAACTTGACCGAACTTGAGATTCTCAGGGAAGGAGCAGGGAGAAAATGAAGGAACAGAGAGCCGGAGTGAAAGGGCTCTGTATAATCAGGGAAGGCCTCCTGGAGGAGGTGGGTGTGGAGCAGAGCCAGGAAGGGCGTAGAGCCACTGGGAGAGGGAGGGGTGGTCATCTGGAGGGGGTGAAATGGGGAGCCAACACCAGGGTGTCAGGGGAGAATGGACACGTCACAGAAGACGTGAGATGTCATCCACCTGGGGGATGGGCTGCCTTTTTACAAGGCATCAGGTGGGTGCCGGAGCCCCACCAAAGGTGAGTTCACCAGAACCCAAGCCCCTCCCCCCACATCCAGCTGAGCAATATCTCCCATGCCCCTTCCAGGTACGAGGATGAGATTTCCAAGCGCACCGACATGGAGTTCACCTTCGTCCAGCTGAAGAAGGTAGCCTGCCCGGCCCTCCCACCCCAGGGGCTCCCTCCTCGGGGGTCCTCAGCCCTCTTTCTCTCCAGATCACTTACTCTCCTTTATGCCCAAGCAAAGCCCTCAGAGGCGCAAGTCCCAGCACCGACAGACACACCTGTCCCCGCATTCTCACCCAGGAAGCAGAGCCTCCCACCCCGTCCCTGCCACAGGCCCCTCCCTCCCCTCTCCTGCCACTCACCACCCTGGCTCCCAACCCCAGGACCTGGACACAGAGTGCCTTCGTCGGACCGAGCTGGAAACCAAGTTAAAAGGCCTGCAGAGTTTCGTGGAGCTGATGAAAACCATCTACGAGCAGGTGAGTGAGATGGACCAGTGTCCCACCAAGCCAAGAGCTGGCTGTTGCGGGGACAAAGGATGCAGGGAAGCGAGGCATCCAGGGGAATGTGGAACCTTCCACAGCCACAGACGACTTCCAGCCACAGGGTTCCTAAACCCCTTCCCATGCCAATGCCACCCTCCTACACACCCCCTGGCCACTCATCTCATAGCATGGGGCCAATTCCCCAAAGGGCATGTTTTCACATGTGCTAGAGTGCTAGGGACATGCAGGGGACCAGGTACCTCGGGGCAGGGAGCCCAGGGTCTGCAACATATGTTCGGATTGAGCTGATCACTCTGTGATCTCTGCACTCTAACCACAGGCACCCATGGTTCCGGCTCCAATGGGCCTACGTGTCACTTTCCCAATTCTGTAAGACAGGGAAGACCTGTAGTCAGATGTCTGATTCCCAGGCAATACTAGCTTCTGCCAGAACAAAAATGGTCCAGTAAATACAGACAGAGAAGTCCTCAGCTGAGCCTGTGGTCGAGAGCCCTCACAGAGGCTAGCATACTCCAGCACAGCCCTTAGGTGGGCCCTGCGGCCATGCCCCCACTCTCGCTGCCTCCTGGGCATCCTTCAGACATGCATCCTCCTCTCTGCATCCCCTCTTTAGGGGTGAGGGGGAGCAGAGCTGACACTCTGGGGCCAAAGTCTTCTTCCACACATGCCTTCAGCTCAACTAGGAACAGGGAGAACCTTTCCACCTGCTAGGATGGCAGGGCCTGGCCACCTGTGTGCTACAAGCTGCGGCAGCACAGTCCAGGTCAGAGCAGAGACCAAAGTCACCACCACAACTGAAAAATTCAGCTACAGTGGCCCTATGGGCTGCTGGACAGTCTCATGGCCATGTCTTCTGGAAAGGGAGGTCATGGCACGCTTCTCTCCAGCAGCCCCAGCCACAGCGGGGGACCTCCATGGGACTGAGCCCTGCGTGGTCACAGAATGCATCATAGCAGAGAGAACACCACACTCTTAGAGGCAGCGGGAAGGCAGCCCTCCTTGGCAGGCCACCACTCTGGCAGCCCTGAAAAGCTTTCTGTCCCTGGCAAGGCCCTCCACAGCCGGGCCAAGCCCTGTGGGGCTGACCTGGGCACCATGCCCACTGACTGGCTGGAGAAGGGACTGGAGGCTTTTCTGCCCAAATTCACTGCGGGCCAGTGCTGCCAGGCAGACACCAGCAGAGCCAGTGTTTCCAAATCCAAGCTCCACCTGCTCACTGATGTCACACCAAGCTCAGGACTTCAGCTTTAAGACAGGATGGGTCCCCTCCCAACCCTCCCCCAGCTGTGGAGACATAGCAGGAAGAAGGTGGGGCTTAACCAGCCATCTACCTGGGCACTGTGGGAACCACACCCACAGCACTCCTCAGCCCCTGTCCCGATGACCAGGCCTGGGGACTCCCCTTGGACTTTGAGGTCCTTGGGCCGCAATCCTGAATCCACCTTTTCTAATCATTGCTGTAGCTTTGGGCAAGTTATTTCGCCTCTCTGTGCCTCAGTTTCCTCACCTGTAAAACGGGGAGAGTACTAGGAACAGCCTCATAGGATTGTGATGAAGATAACCCATGTATTCCTTTAACAAATGTCCACATGCCTACTAAGCACCTGGCACTAATATCACAGCCTGGACAAGATGGCAAAGCCCCTCCTCTCCAGAAGGATCTGAATGAACTAAGAGCTCAGGTCCTAGCAAGTATACAGAGATCTGGATGAGGACACTTCGGAGGGTGGTAAGTGCTGGGATGCAAAGAAACTAGGTGCTGGAAGGAAGGGGGAGCTCAGAGCCCATAGGCAGTGGGCTTGTGGGGGTGCAAGCAAGAGAAGACCCAAGGACAGGGAAGACCCAGTCCTGTGGAGATTGGAGATGGTGCCGGGCAGACGGAACTGCTGTGCAAAGCTTCTGGGGCAGGAATGAACTTGGTGATTCAGGGGGAAAAAAGAAGCTACTGGTAAGAGCAGACAGGGCAGGGTGGGAGCCCTGGGTCAGAGAGAGTTGTGCAGGGTCCCTCAGGCAGGGCCTCGGGCCTGAGTCAGAGGTCGGACCTTATTCTGAGTGTGGCAGGCAGCCTCGGTGGGTGCTGGGGAGGGGCGGTGCATAGGGGCTCAGGGCACGGTTGTGCTGTCGTGAGACTGTGGTGGAGAGGGGATGGCGGAGAAGGCGGCAGATGCCACAGCAGTGATTATTGCTTCTGGAAGCAGCAGGATGGTGGGTGGCATTGGACGTGCAGTTTGTGTTCTCTCTGTGTGCTGTGGCAGGCCAAGTCAGCAACACCGACCTTTGCCAAAAATATTCCCCACACAGTGGTCTCCAAGCCAGTACTGTCTGATAGAAGTGTAATGCAAGCCGGGCTCGGTGGCTCAGCCTGTAATCCCGCGCCTTTGGGAGGCTGAGGTGAGTGGATTGCCTGAGCCCGCGGGTTCGAGACCCGCCCGGGCAGGTGAGACCTCATCTCTACAATGAATCAAAAAATTATCTGGGCGTGGTAGCGCGCGCCTGTAATTTCGGTTACTCGGAAGGCTGAGGCGGAAAGATCGTTGGAGCCCAGCAGGTCGAGGGTGCGGTGGCCAGGAGCGGCCACTGCACTCTAGCCTGGGCGACAGAGTGAGACTCCAACTCAAAAAAATAAAAAAGAAATGTAATGCGGAGCCGGGTTCAGTGGCTCAGCCTGTAATCCCACGCTTTGGGAGGCTGAGGTGAGTAGATTGCCTGAGCCTGCAGGTTCGAGACCCACCTGGACAACTCGGCAAGCCCTCATCTCTACAATAAATCAAAAAATTAGCCAGGCATGGTAGCGCGCACCTGTAGTTCCA